AGACTCAGGTTTTTAAAATAGAATCCGACCTAAAAATTCGTTTCAATTTCGTCTTTTTATGACTTTAAAAAGTGAATTAACTAGAAAAACAAAACGGCGGTTACATAAAACCCCGGGAAAGATCGGAGAATCGAAAGTGCACATTTTTTGTTTTTGTTTTGTTGACGATTGTTAGGGGAGCTAAAGATTTGAAACAAAGGGAAATCACTTCACCGGGGGAAGTAACAGGTTGTGCCGTTGCGTCTATTTATAAGCTGTAAAAATAGCGATCACTTTTTATGTAATCTTCAGATCCTCTTTAATTGATATAGGAGCGGATGTATCCCCAACAGAAAGCGTAGAGTCTTACACTGAGGTATTGAATCTCTAGTTCAAGGCATGTGCGTTTGATAGAGCTGAAGATGGATTTTTACAGGAATTAACTAGGTTTTATTTTACCATAGGTTTTGTTTATTGATAGACATGTCAAAGTTGGTATGTAGTAATCTGTTTGGTTTGGTTTAGTTAGATTAAAATGGTTGTGATTTATTGTGTTTACCGGTTGAGTCGGGCAAATTTGGACGGTTCTGTTTGTGTAGTTCTGTCGGGTGGTTCTGTTGGGTGGTTCTGTTGTATGGTTCTATTGGGTAATTGTGTGGTTCTGTTGGGTGGTTCTGTTGGGTGGTTCTGTTGGGTGGTTATGTTGGACGGTTCTGTTGTGTGGTTCTGTTGGGTGGTTCTGTTGGGTGGTTCTGTTGGGTGGTTCTGTTGGGTGGTTCTGTTGGACGGTTCTGTTGGGTGGTTCTGTTGGGTGGTTCTGTTGTGTGGTTCTGTTGGGTGGTTCTGTTGGGTGGTTCTGTTGTGTGGTTCTGTTGGGTGGTTCTGTTGGGTGGTTCTGTTGGGTGGTTCTGTTGGATGGTTCTGTTGGGAGGTTCTGTTGTGTGGTTGGCGTGGTTCTGTTGTGTGTTTCTGTTGTGTGTTTCTGTTGGGTGGTTCTGTTGGGTGGTTCGGTTGGGTGGTTCGGTTGGGTGGTTCGGTTGGGTGGTTCGGTTGGGTGGTTCGGTTGTGTGGTTGTTGGGTGGTTCTTTTGGGTGGTTCTGTTGTGTGGTTCTATTGGGTGGTTCTGTTGGGTGGTTCTGTTGGGTGGTTCTGTTGGGTGGTTCGGTTGGGTGGTTCGGTTGTGTGGTTGTTGTGTGGTTCTGTTGGGTGCTTCTGTTGGGTGCTTCTGTTGGGTGGTTGTGTTGGGTGGTTGTGTTGGGTGGTTGTGTTGGGTGGTTCTGATGGGTGGTTCTGTTGGGTGGTTGTGTAACGCTAGCTCCACACACACAAAAAAATAAAATAAAATAAAAATAAATAAAACAAAGAACAAGGTTTGAACTTTTCACGTCAATGGTCGAGTCTTTCTGTGCTAGCTCACTAGACCACACGTATTCAGTTGTCAGAAGACGGATGGTTTATTGTAACTTGGTCGGGAGTCATGTGACTAGAACATTGGGGGTGAGGGTAGTCCAGTTTATTGATGTCACCTACATAACACCACCACCAACCAACACAATAACATCAACCCAACACCCAACACCAAACTATCGACCAAAACCACGCCGTCATCTGTACAACTCAACAACATCACCGACACAGTAAAACCTACAGCCCACACAAAGTCAGCTGCGTGTTTCACACTGGAGATTTAAGATCGCGCTAAAACTTTAATCTTAAACCGCGTAATCCAAACCCTAAGCTAACTCTACTCAAGCGCCCCCCCCCCCTGATCGGCAGCGTAGACGAATGTGCGATTAATTCGACACCTCTGATTGGGGGGGGGGGGGGGAGGACCTCATATGAGGCAAGATATGACTAGCGGGCAACATCGAGATAGGCCGCTACCCATTCCTCTTAGGGGCAATATTTAAATAAATTAACACCAGTTTCAAGTAGGCCTTGTAGGTGGTCTGATAATTTACAAGTAGTTTTTTTTTTTAAGCAGAGAAGTGTGTGTGAGTGGAGTGGGGGGGGGGTGGTAACTCTCCAACCCAGGCCCTAATTCACGCTATATATATTTTAATTGAGGGTATATCTGGCAGACCAGCAAACAAATAAATCTTTGTCGCATTCAGGTCCATTAAATATGTTCCGGTATTTGCACCCGTAACGGAACGCGTTCTTGTAGCTAACTATCACAAGAACAGTCATTTCGACATTTACACTAACCCTAGCCCTGACTCGTATATCACTTGCTTGATAAAGCACATGTGGTTGGGTAAGCGCGTGTGGTTGGGTAAGCCACACTGTCATAGCACGCGAATATAGAAAACAACTTAATCTTGATGTGTCTGATTAGTACCGCAACATTTCCACATTACATTTAACCAAAGAACCCCCCCCCCCCCCCCGATGAAACAGAACGTATATAGAGCATATATACTTGTACCAGTGTCAGCCTCCCTCCGAAAGTTCTCAACAGAGTTTCTTCCAGGCACCTCTTAGGGGGTTAACATATAGTTAATATATAACATTATATTAACATATACTTTTACTAGTGTCCACCCCCCCCCCCCACAGAAAATGTAGACCCCCCCCCCCCGAAAATATCAAATGCCCCCCCCCCCCCCCCGGAGAAAAAAATCTGGAAGAAATACTAGACGACTAATAGTGACTAAAGAGATCATTAAAACATTGACTTAAGCCTGAACCTTAACACATTTAACCCAAGCACCCATATTCTTAACTTTGACTAGAGTCTTAAATTCTCTTAATCCTACCACAAACTACAGCCTTAATGCTGACTATGTCCACAGCCTAATAATGAGTACTGACATAAAGCCTTAACAACAGCAGTGGCCAGACTTTAATAGCAAACCTAGTCATTACACCAAGATGACCTTTGGCTTTAAGAAATAGCATACACGTTATACCAGCAATATAAATTATAGACACCATGGGTACACGTCAAATCGATTTTAAGTAAAATATTTAAATGGTTTATTTATACATTAAGAATATACCTAAAAGACAGGACATAAACCCCATAGACAAACGATTTAGGATTTAGACATTAAAAATTTCTTGGGGATGTATCGAGGATTGATGCATATTTTTATTTTTTAGATTATCCCCCGCGTTGATCCCAGCAAGCTTGCCAAGGCTTAGCGAATCAATGATACTGTGACGTCCGCGCTATGCGAGACAACCCACTAAGACCAGCCCCCTCGTGCTGGCTCTCGACGGCTGCGGTTGGCTGCTCGACTGCAGCTGACGCGATGGAAGACGCGCGGGCGTGGCTACGCTTTTAGCCCCGCCTACTTATTGATCGTTTCCTGTGTTCGCGTTTTTTGCTGGCGTCACGAGCGGGCTAATGACGGCGGCTGTGAGGCGAGCTGTGCAATGAGGTTTTTTACTGGTTCGCTAACAGTTTGCGCATTTCTCCTTGTTTTTATTTTTATATCGCCCCTACCGGCCCCACCACAAGAACCACTGCTACAGAGATGTCGTGAGTGGCGTGTCGCCACGACACACACTCAACAGCGACTCAATATGACCAAAGATAAGTCCCTATTGTCGGCCAGAAACACGATTGATGTGTTATTAATGTCGGCATAGAACAAGCCTACAAAAACACAGCATCTTTGGACGAGAAAAAAAATCAACCACTTTTGACATGTAAATAAAACGGCATTGAAAAAAAAATTATCAACATAATCTCGAAGCTTCTAGAAAGTAACCCAACAAAAGTAACGTAACATAACGCGAACGTAACTTAAAAACTAACCCACAAATCTTTGAAATGGTTCGTTGGTTAGGCTTTAAATGTGGGACTAACTACTGCCTAGCGTCTCTATAATAGATGTGGTAAGACTTTCTGTGTTTGTTGCTGTGACTGAATGGAAGGGGGTGGTGAAGATGCATGCATGCTAGGCGTGGCATTAAATTATAATCACAGGGGAGATAAAGCAGAACCCTAACAGATAGATACGCTTTGTGGTCAGTGTGAATAATGCGCTGTTAATAGGACAGTTGGGTTAGCCGTACCGCGACAGTCATCGCGTTAATCATACGGCAGGGTGCAGTTACACCATGACCCTAATGGTCGGAGTAAACAAAGAGATGATTAGGAAACGTGGGGGTACGGCTAATCGAATATCAAAGACTTACAACTTGGGAAATGTTTAATTATGATTTTGGTCAAGTAATTAGATGAACATCGTCCGGTTGAAATTTTAAACAGGTAAAATAAAAAGTCAATTTTTAAACGAAATCATTTTTATTCTTACATAAACACGGGTTACATTTCCAGCAGCCGATTAAACACGGTAAAATGTGTTCGCCTAACGTTTTTATTGAATTAAATGGTGTAGATGACAGACTAGGAAAAAAATAATAATTTAAAACCATAAGAAAATAATAAATAATAATTTAAACAAGAAAATGACGAAACCACTTTTTTTGTGAGTTGTTGATACTAATAAAAGAAAGAGCTATAGCGAAACTGTTAGAAAGTGGATAATGTGATGATTATAAAAACAATTTTATATGTCAATAAAACGGTTATGTTATGCGTTTACCCCTAGTAATACCTAGTAACAAATATGTATGAATTTAGAATGCGGGGAAAAGGAGAAAAGAACGAAATTATTTTTTGGGTTTATATTTTCCTGAGAATTAAACTAAGGGAAGCAACCGGTATTTTACTTTTCTTGTTCAGGGTAGACACGGTTGTCTACCATGGGACTTGTTCAAAATACAGCAATATAAAGATGGAAAACTTATAAATGTAAGTTTGACTTAAAAAACATATACAAATTTAAATACTGTAAGAATTGAGGTGCCTTTCTAATCTCGAATATTTTTTATGTTAATCTATTCACTTGTTTATCTGTGGCTATTGTACAAAATCACTCACACACACAAATCCTTCCAAACTCTGTCACAAACCCTCCCAAACAACCCTGCAACAAACACTGACAATGAACATTGACAACGTATTCTGACAACGATCACAGACAGACAAACAAACACAACCTTACCCTGATCGTTGCCTTGTTTGTCCTCCCCCTCATTGTCCCTCCTCTTGTTGCTGTCGTTCTGCTGGTTGTTGTTGTTGTTGTTGTTCTGATGATGGTGGTTGCTGCTGCTGTTGTTGGGATTGTGCCGGATGACGTGGTGCAGCTGCTGCATAAACTCCTCATGGGCGGCGTAGATCATGTCTTTTTCTGTGGGGGAAATAGGTTGGACGTAAGTTATGTTATCAAATCAAGGTGTGCCATCATAATCATTTTTTTTTACCGATTTCACCGTTACCAATATAAAACAGGTGAATTGTCAATAGAATTGTAAAATAGATACTTTTTCTACAGATAAATTATTAAATCATAGGTAAAAATACAGGTAAGTTAAAATTATTCTTAATTGCATACTTAATTTGACGATAAAACACAGGTCATTTTTTTTTTTTTTTTACATCTGATTGCACAATGAAGTTTAAGGTAAAAAAAAGGTGCATAATCAACAATAGTATATATAGGCTATCAATTTTACTAGAACGTCTAACTTACCAACAATTAAATGAACACACATACGAAACTGCTCTGAATTGTCTCATTAGTAATCAGTAGCGTACGCAGGGGGGGAGCAGGGGGAGCGGCCGCTCCCCCTCTGGCCATTTTCAGCAAAGTGGCGCCTTTTTGGAAACTTTTTAGAGGGGTGTTAAGTTTAAGGCAACTGTATAATGTATTTGCTTACGAATAATTGAATTAGAAAATGTTCTACATAAAACTTCACACATAATTACTTTATATATCTACTAGCTGCATCCCGTGCTCCGCCACGGTAAATCTTTTTAAAATATACCAACTTTGGAACAGAACAAAACAAACTAAAACACAACACAAACACAAACACAAACACAAACGAAACACAACCACAACCACAACACAACCACATTACAACCACAACACAACCACATTACAACCACAACACAATCACAACACAACCACAACACAACCACAACCACAACACAAAACAACCACAACACAACCACAACCACAACACAACCACAACCACAACCACAACACAACCACAACCACAACACACGGTAAATCTTTTTTAAATGTACCAAGTTGGGAACAGAACAAAACTAAATACAACACAAACGAACGCAAAGAAAAAACAAAAACGAAAAAACAAACACAACACTCAACATAAACTCAATTTAAATGTAATCATAAAGGCATATTGCTCACAGTCTGTCCCGTAGCGCCAAATCGCGCCCTTTCCGAGCGCTGGCGGAAAATTTCGATTTACACCCTCCCACCTCCCTCAAACTTTCGATTTCCACCCTCCCCCCCCCCCCCCTCTTGCTACGCCTGTTATAAAACCCCTAGCTTTTCCGCAAATAAATTAAAGGCAGTATGTAGAATATCCGTGTTTTACCGACCATATTGCACTTTATAAATTCATGCATTTTTTTCAGTACTTTTAAAAATGTACAATAAAGTTTCATGACTAAAACCATTGCGCACCTAATGAACGTGATGACTTAATATAGTAATGGAGAATAGTTGATTAAAAATTATAATTAGTAAACAGTACATTCAGTGAATAAAATAAATAAAAGATAGCCTTTTATCAATAATATTAATAATATTATTCCAACAATAATGTACTCTTACACGTCAGCATAATATATATATATATATATATATATATATATATATATATATATATATATATATATATATATATATATATATATATATATATATATATATATATATATATATATACACGTATATAGAACGTGTTAAAAATTCGGCGCCTTTTTTTGCTCTTTTCGCTCCCCCTACAACGAAAACCTGGATACGCCTCTGTTAGTAATTGAAATAGTTTTAATTACTTTTAAAACATGTGCTTTACTGGTGACCTCATACATCCTATTTATTGTGACCTTCCCATCAAACAACTGACGTCATGACCTTTTCATGATGACGACACGGAGAATCCATCCCAGTATTCAGTAATTAATTAACTTTTTAAATGGCCATTTTAATTCGTCCAATTATATACGTTTTATTGCCGAAATTAAACCACATACATTAGGTTAATTATATATCAGGCTAATTAAAAAAAATGTGTTGGGTTTAAGTTTAAATGCCAAAATGGCGCTTTAAAATCTTGTATTGATCGATTGATGCTTTTATTCACAAATAGATCCTATTTAGATCACTATGGGCACCCATTGTTTTAAAAAGTGAATAAGCGTTTTAGACCCCGGCATCTGATAACATCACAATGACCATGCTGATTTTTAAATACACTACGGAAGCTATGCTAGGTAGAACCAGGAAGTCCTACTGACATGCCGAGTACCCATCAGAGCTGGGTGGACTCAAGGATGTCAAACATACTCTAGCCATACAAAACTGAAGAGCTTAAACGGCCCAATTATCGACAATTAATTAACTTCCCCGATATTAACCATCCCATCATAAAACTTGTATTCAAACCCCGCATTTCGTAACATGTTCCGTACAAACAACATTCCAACATAGTATTCTAACCCTTTCCAAGTAATCCACAATACACATCAAATCCTGAATTCTCCTTGTCATCTTTAGAAAAAAAAACAGCCGCCACCCCACCCCTCTAAGTCAATAAATAATCCCCCCCTCCCCAATAAAAGAAGCAGAGTTTAATGTCCGTGCACGGAACCCCCGTGGCGAACACGACAAAAGTTTCGCCAGTCGGGCCGTGTTACAAGACGGTGCCCTCGACTCGTCTGAAAGGCGAACAGGACATAGACGGTCGCCGTACAGCAGAAAATTGGGACATATCTTCATGGCATAATTGGGGGAAGAATTTTAATTTCGGCTCGCGTTTCTGTACAAGGGGTGAAAAGGGGGGGGGGGGGGAGTATGTGTCGAAATGCATCATGGGAGGAGGATAAGTGCTGAGATGTCAGGTAGTGATGTGGTTGAGTGGAGGCTTCACTAAATATGTGATTTATGTTGATAAAGGCTTCACTAAATATGTGATTTATGTTGATAGGGGCTTCACTAAATATGTGATTTATGTTGATAGGGGCTTCACTAAATATGTGATTTATGTTGATAGGGGCTTCACTAAATATGTGATTTATGTTGATAGGGGCTTCACTAAATATGTGATTTTAGTTTCACTAAATATATGATTTATGTTGAAAGAGGCTTCACTAAATATATGATTTATGTTGAAAGAGGCTTCACTAAATATGCAATTTATTTTGTTAGAGGCTTCACTAAATATGTCATTTAAGATGATAGAGGCTTCTCTAAATATGTGATTTAAACTATTAGAAGCTTAAGTCAACATACGTTTAAGTAAAAACACGACCCAACTTAAAGCACCAACGACTATCTAACATTCTACATTAAAGACCTTATGCTAATCTCCGCTAATCCCCACTAATGTGTCAAAACAAGACCAGTATGTAAAGGTGAATGCCCCCCCCCTCCCCCACGATATAACCGAATATTCTAGAATGTAAACAACTTGTTGATTGAGCGAATGAACCAGTTCGGACAATTTGGTTTGGAAGAGTTGAAAGAAAATTTGTAAAAAAAATATTCCCACATATGAAGTCACCACAACACCCCTGGGTTGAAGATATCACCACCTATGCCCTGCCCATTCGTTAACACCTTTTGTCCCCCACCTTGTAGGTTAAACCACCAAAACAAGATCGGTGAGAAGAAGTGGAGATAATCCACGCGAGTTCACCAATTACTTCCACCCACTGGTCCTACAGTTACCTCGCCTGAATGAACGGTTACATTTCATCAACTCCTACTGCCGAGGGTCCAACTTTAAAGGGAGGTTAAGGCACCAGTAGACACATTAGAGGGGAGGCGCCAACTAGGTGCCACGCAAACACCGGAAGTTATGGAGCGGCCATTGATCTACAGACAAATTAATGTTCGTAGGCGGTTGAGTGGGTGCAGTAGATTGTGAATGGTACCTTCAGTACGTCAGTACCATAATGATTCGGTACGCTTGAATGAGATTATGGTTAGTACCTTAGAAGTCCATGGTAATTGGTACTTTATCGTACCATCGCTAGTACTTTAGGTAACATGGTACCATCAAATGTTGTGCCTTCTACTTAAGAATGTAAACATTACTATTACGATATGAGAGTTGCTAAATTAGAGTAGGTACGTATATGACAGTCAGACATTAAACATCACTGTACCCTGATGTATATTAGACCCGGGTAGTCATGAGCGAGGAGGGGGGGGGGGGGGTCCATGTGTAACCATAATTACATTGAACCAAATCATGTCGTGCGAGAGGGGGGTGTAGAGTCAAGGTGGTATACATGAAATGTCAAGGTCATGTTAAGGTAGTTTCTTTTTGTGTGTGGGAGGGGAGAGGGGAGAGGGAGGTAATTCCATTTGAGAACCTTCTAGGTAAAGAGACACCCACACCATGACGTAAGAAACTATTATGTTGCTAATGGGGTTTTGTAAACAAAAGAGTATCGAAACACCACCAGGATGTTGTAGATCACGTATATATTTTATATATATATATATCTATATATATATATATATATATATCTATATATATATATATATATATATATATATATCTATATATATATATCTATATATATCTATATATATATATATATATAGATATATATATATATATATAGATATATATATATATATATATATATATATATATATATATATATATATATATATATAGATAGATATATATATATATATATATATATAGATATATATATATATATATATATATATATATATATATATATATCTATATATATATCTATATATATATATATATATATATATATATATATATATATATATATATATATATATATATATATATATATATATATATATATATATATATATATATATAATTTATGCATATATATCTTATATATCTCATATAATTAATCCATTTTATAGCTGTATACTTATAAAGATTTAAAGATTCAAAGACCCCTACAGACATCCAATCCTCCAACCTTTAGATTTGTAACCCCCCCCCCCCCCCCTTCCTCCCCCTTCCCCTTCCCTTATACTCGCAGTGAAGTAAGAAGAAAACAACTTTTATCTTAACGAATGCATCTACTCCTGCATTTAAAAAAGACGCGTTCATTCCTGGCCTTAAATAATACACTAGACTATTGAATAGA